TGTATGTATGTATGTGTGTGTGTGTGTGTATATATATATATATATATATGTGTGTGTGTGTGTGTATATATATATATATATATATATGTATATGTATATAAATAGGTCTCCAACTGCCGGTCCGCGGACCGGTACTGAAAAAAATCCATCGTGAAGAAGAAACAAATATAATTGTTGCTCTGTAGTATGAGTTACATTTATTGGGCACTTTAAAACAAACAAGAACGAGAACAGTTGAAGTAATGAGGTAAGACTGGCAGCCAGCTCCCTGTTTCTTAAATGCATTTACGGCAACAAATGAGTTCCAGTTTGATTTTTAAAAATTCTATTTTGAACTACCGAAACATTTTTCTTTTTAGTTTAAAATAGCTTACCTTAACTAGACTCCCATGTCACATTGTAACCAAAGCTAGAATCTTGGTCGGTTATTGCTTGTTTAAGTTGAGGACCAGCCAAACTGCTGGAGATCGCAAATGACGGCGGCCTTAAAAGTACGTTCGAACAACAACTCTGCCAGTGTTCTGGATTCAAGTTATGGCTGAATACACTGAGATCGCCACAACAGCACTGTTGCTATTTCCGACATCCTACTTGTATGAAGCGGGGGTTTTCTGCAGTGACGGCGACCAAAACAAAATTACGAAGTAGACTAGACATAAACCACATACTTCAGGTATCCTTGCTCCGAGATGGGATCGCCTGATTGCAGAAAATCAAGCTCAGGGCTCCCATTGATTCAGCATTGTGGTGAGTCATAATTTTCATGGACTTTGAATTTGCGTTGTATCTTATTTGGAAGTCACGTTTAAACATTACCATCGTGACCAGATTGGACGTTCCTTGTGTCAAGATTTGGGTTTATTATTATCTTTCGAAAACACCACAGTTTTCATGAAGCTCATGTCATATTATTTTGTTGCATTTATCCCCCACACGTTAAAGGGCGGTCCCTGAAAATATTGTCTGACATTAAACGAGTCCGTGGGCCAAAAAAGGTTGGGGACCCCTGATTTAGAGTGTTCCATTAGCCCGCCATGAATGTTCTTGTAATGTGGGAGGAAACCGGAGTACCTGGACAAAACCCCCACACACACGGGGAGAACATGCAAACCTCACGCAGGAAGGCCCGACCAGGAATTGAACCCTGGACCTCTGCACTGTGAGGCCACTGTGCTTACCAGTCTACCACCATGCTTCCATCTTACCTCAATATTATTCACATTTTGAGTGAAATGACAAAATTTGAAATGAAAAAAATTGTGCCCCCTCCCTCCAACATTTCAGTTGCCCATGCCTGTGGGAGAGAGTTTCTCCATCCCCGTAAGCACAACTTCTTGACGGGAGTGCCTCGCTTGCCGGGGACAAGCTGGAAGGCTAAAATACTGCCAAATTCTTTGGCATGACTGAAAACTGACAAATGATTAAAACTGATAACAAGGTAAAAATAAAGGGGAATGGAACAGAGCTGTTTGTAACAGGTTACCGCCTTACACGGACTTCTTTTAAGTCTCAAAATGAACACAAGGCACCAAGCTTATACTCATTTAATGACACGTCATCCTCGCTGGGAGTGCAGTGTATCCATTTGCATGCCCTACTTACACTATTTGACAATTATAATTTTTGTGGCTTGATGATGAAGTTGTTCCTCAACATGTGAAAATAAGCTAATGTTTTGATTAATGCTGGCTTTTTCTTCCACATTCTAGGCTCACACTTCTGCAAGTAGAAGCCGTATGCCTGATCGAACGACCCTTGGCTGCATACCAATAGTTGTGGTAACCAAAGCCATACTTGAAATTGGCCCTGCAGTCAGTGTGTGAGCAGTGGGTCATTTGCATGGGGTAGGGCTGACCTCTGAAAGCAGGCTTTTATCACCGAGGCAAGTGTGCTGACATTTTTTTTTTCTGCTTGGTGTATTTCGATGAAAGTGTGCCACAGGCATGTTACTAAGTCACCTGGCTGACATACAACGTGACAAAGTTTATTCCGTTCTGGCTCAATTTACCATGTAAGATTCTCTCTCTAAAAGACACTTATTAATTGTTATGCAATTTTGCTGCTCAAAGTTGGATGGTCTTTGCTTTAATTTGATCACAAGCACTTAATTGCGGTGTTAAACGCACTAGCCTCGTCACTCTTGGGTTAGCTTAGCATTTAACATGGCTTCTTCCGTCTTTTCATCACTTTGTGAGCATAATACTTGTCAGAAAGGTAGCTTCTTCGCAGCCACGGAGGAGATGATCACCGATTTAGGAGCTACTCCGCAACGAAGTTGTTGCTAGCTCACTGCTTCTGCGTAAATCCAGTAGCACAGAGCTTCCCTCGACCTGCGATTACATGCGGGAGGTGACTTGAGCCCAGCGAAGCTTTTTGGGACCGCCTCGGTGCTTCTTTTTTTTCTGATACAGTACTTTCTCTTGACGGTTGTCTCGGCATTTGATTATTAAGTGTTGCTATTCACTCAGTATTAATGAGATACAAAATAAACATTTTGAACCACAGACAGCGATGCAATACCGCGTATTGTAAGCCTTGCAGAAGTTGTCATTAACAATGTAGGTTAGTTTTGCGATCTTATACAGAGTTAAGAATGTGGGACAAGACTTTTCTGCTGCAGTTGCCATGTTTTACTGCTTTTGTTGGCCACAAGAGAACACAAACTGCATTTAAGTGTCTTCTGAGTGAGTGTATAAGGCACAGGTGTCAAACTCAAGGCCCGGAGGCCAGATCCGTCCCGCCACATCATTTTATGTGGCCCGCGAAGCAAACTTCCATGATTGTTGCTAAAATCTGAACCAAAAATGTCAAATTGTCACGTGTAATAAATAACGATGAGATGTTGCAGTAGTTTTAAGGCATTCACACCCACTTGAACAATCAGTGAACACAAATATAAAAATATAGTTGACTGATTTCAAAACTAGTAATCACTTTTTTACAAAAATAAGTTTGATACCCCTGGTATAAGGCCAATTAGGACCTTCCTGCTCTCTCTTCACACCTGAGACCTTGTAACACTGTTGAGTCACATGACACTGTCGAGGGAAAGTGATTAACTGCGCTCAATTTGAGCATTTTCACTTAGAGTTGTACTCACTCTTGTTACTTCTTGTCAATGGCTATGTTTTGAGTTGTTTCAAAGGAACAATACATTTACGCTGTTGTATAAGCTGTACGCTGACTACTTTGCGTTGTGTTCAAGTGTCATTTCTTCAATGTTGTTCCATGAAACGATATAATGAAATAGCTGCAGAAATGCGAACGCTAGACTCACTTTTGTGAGATGTACACGGACATACAAACATACTGTATGGCTGTATGAACGGTATGCATACATACAAGGGTGCTGATAAAAATTTTGATGTGGTTCTCAAATGAGCACCAGAGGTTGTGTTTTGGTTCTTATTTCTGCCCGAACCGCTGACCTAATAAATGAACTTAAAGACATACTGCACACCTGGGCAAAGTCGGACCTTTGGGCCGTAGTTACTGCAGGACATAAATTAAAATAAAATGTCATGTCTGCTTCGCTTTTATCATGATGTGCACATGTCAACAGTGCAAGCCAACAGGAGCAGTGACTTGTCTTAAGTGTTGGTAACTTTTTCTGTATTCACTGACTTCTCCGATCATTCTAGCACAGTGGTTCTTAACCTTGTTAGAGGTACCGAACCCAAACAATTCATATACACATTCACCGAACCCTTCATTACTGAAATATAAAAATATGATTCAAGAAGTGTTCCTTCAGTTTTGCCGGTGCGAGACTAAAGTTACTCAACTTCGCAAAACAAATCATCCAGATAGGATGCTGAGTCCCATCACATTCCGTAGTGCATTTGAACCCGTGGTACATATTCATCCGACCACGTAGTTTTTTGGGGTTTTTTTTTTTTGCTCGACATAGCATGTATTAAAGCATTCAAAAAAAAAAAATAATCACACGACGTACTATCACGACAGTCACACGTTGACTGCTGAGTGAACTAAATTTCCCGCAGCACTGATTGGACAAGCAGTGTGATCATCTGCAGCCAGCTATGGCTAAGCAAGCGTGTCATAACTAAGTGACATCTTGAGCCAGGTGTGTCAGAGGCTCCGTCGAACCCCTGAGACCGGTTCACCAAACCCCTGGCGTTCAAACGAACCGAGGTTAAGAACCACTGCTCCAGCAATTATGTGGGGAGGTGAGGGGTGATGTATCATTAATATTTGTAGATACAGTATGTCACTTTAAAGTAACTGATTAAACCTTCTTCACCAATTTTTATTTTAGTTTTTATTTATTTATTCCGACAACATATACTAGGGCTACTCATTAGATTCATATTTTCCTATTCAATTAGCATGTTGATTTGGCCTTTGAAAGATTTGTTGCCCACCTCTGATTTGCAGCATGGGGTTCTGTGATCAGCTGACTTTTTTTTAGCACAGTTCTCGACATGATCTGTTGCCCAATCTTTTTTTTGTACCTTGGAAGGACTGCTTTCATATTTTGACCGACCATCGAAGCAGTGGTGGCAATACAGAGATAACCGTCGCACCAGCGAAAAAATGCAACATGAAGAAGAAACAAATATAATTGTCGCTCTGTGGTATGAGTTACATTTATTGGGGACTTTTTAATTGGAAACAAGAACAGTCGAGCTAAGACTCGCAGCCGGAATCCCCGTTTTGCAAATGCATTGACAGCAACAAGTTCCAGTTTGATTTTAAAAATTCTATTTCGAACTACCGAAACATTTTTCTTTTTAGTTTAAAATGGCTTACCTTAACTAGACTCCCATGTCACATTGTAACCAAAGCTAGAATCTTGGTCGGTTATTGCTCGTTTAAATCGAGGACCAGCCAAACTATGAAAAAAAAAAAGCCAATTTATAATCCGAAAAATACTGTCTTTTAGTTATAGTTTCTTTGCATATTTAGAAATATAAAACCTTTTTTTTTTTTTTATTGTCATTATTATTATTATTATTTTTGTTATGATTACATGTAGTGGTACAAGTAGTTGATGTCAGGTGTGTTGCACCTGAAGGCCATGTGTGTGTGTGTCACATTTCTAACACCCACACACAATAGCACTGCGGGTTGTGTCAAATGTCATCTTTGAGCTCCCGGCCGGGTTTTAGTTTGGACACCCCTAATCTAGACCAAACACCTGTTCAATTAATTGTCAATTTAAATGTCAGTTTAATCGACTGGGACTCTATTGTGTTGACAACTTGGTCACTTTTCAGTTCAGTACAAGCTGCATGCGGCAACATGGCTGAACATTTCCACATAAACACGCCCTTACTGGAAAGTGCTGCAATGTCCAAACGTGTGGGAACCACTGTGTATCTGAAAATGGAGAATTCCCAGCCCTCTGGTTCTTTCAAGATCCGCGGCATTGGGTACTTGTGCCAACAGGTAGATACATACATTTGCATATACGTACAGTAGAAAAGTGAGGAGCGTGCACGGAATTACCTTATTTCATATTGATGCTTTCCTCTGCAGCTTAAGTCACGGTCCAAAGGATTTGTCTGCTCCTCAGGTTGCCTCTTTTTCGGAACCTTGTCATATTATCACTTAAATATTGGTACAGTACTATACAGTAGTTGGTTGAGCTGTGTACATGATGTCTTTATTCCAGGTGGAAATGCTGGGATGGCGGCTGCCTATGTAACCCGAAAAATGGGTGTCCCGGCCACCATAATAATTCCCTCATCAACGCCTCATTCTGTTGTCCAGAGACTCAAGGATCAAGGTGCTCATGTCAAGATTGTGGGCAAGGTAAAGCTCTTTTCATGTCAACTTTGACCATAACAGGCTGTTTGGATTTGAGTGTTTTTTTTTTGTTTGTTTTTGTTTGTTTTAATGGTGTGAAAAGGTCATATAAACAGCCACTGTACACAGGTTTGGGATGATGCAAACGCTGAAGCTCTAAGACTCGTCAAAACAGAGGGACTTTCCTATGTGTCTCCGTTTGATCATCCCTTGATCTGGTAGATAAGTAATCACTTGTTCATGCATCGACACTTTACATCCTCTAAATTCTTTAATAGTTGGTATTTCAAATGTTCTTCCTCCTACCCACACAAAAGGAAGGGACATTCTAGTCTGATCGCAGAGGCGGCAGCCAGTCTGGGTCCAAATGTCAAGCCTGGAGCAGTACTGATATCAGTGGGCGGAGGGGGCCTCCTCTGTGGGGTCGTCCAGGGTCTGAAGGATGTAGGCTGGATGGACGTGCCCATTGTCGCCATGGAAACAGTTGGCGCAGACTGTTTGAATGCTTCCGTTAAGACAGGAAGGATCGTCACCTTGGATGACATCACCAGGTCAAATTTCTTCTTTGAGCCTTGCCTGAATATCGCAACTGCAAACATATGCAGAAAAAAAAAATATCATCCAAAATCAAGGGGGTGTATTTTAGAGGGAAAAAAAAGACAATTTATCACATAGATGTTTATCTTGCACCTGGGATCACAATATGATATGTAATGTCTAGTGTTCCAAATTTAGATTTAATCATGCATTGATTTTGACATAATTCCCCCACCGACAAAGGCCAAATTTAGAGCTGTATTTATTAATTGACAATGAATGACTAATCCAATTAATTTATAATCATTCATTCATTCATTTTCCGAACCGCTTGATCCTCACTAGGGTCGCAGGGGGTGCTGGAGCCTATCCTAGCTGTCTTCGGGCAGTAGGCGGGGGACACCCTGAACCGGTGGCCAGCCAATCGCAGGGCACACAGAAGCAAACAACCATTCACGCTCACACTCACACCTAGGGACAATTTAGAGTGTACAATCAGCCTGCCATGCATGTTTTTGGAATGTGGGAGGAAACCGGAGGACCCGGAGAAAACCCACGCAAGCCTCTGGAGAACATGCAAACTCCACACACTCTCCTCCCTTAGGCTGTGTGCTTGTCCGTGACGCACATGTGAAGTAGTGGGAATCGGGTCATTTCTGTTGGAAACAGAAGCATTATGGGTAATGCAGTCTCTGTCACAAAGAAGTCAAGCCAACTGCAGCAACAAGTGCTCATGGTATTCATGAGAGTAACACGCCACCAAGGCAATCAGACAAATTAACTTTCCATTACCAAATAATACAGGATATGAACGTCAGTGCCAGGGTCCGCTTTTATTTTCAAGTTGCTCCCGGCAGCGTGAGGGCCGACTTCCTGGAGTGTCAACAGAGGATCCGGTAGTTTTTCCAAAGTAAAACATCTTTCAGAGTCCGAAATAAATGAAACAGAAGTAATGTAAATTATTTATTCTTTCTGTGCGGCCCGGTACCAAATGACCCACAGACCGGTGCCGGTCCGCGGCCTGGGGTTTGGGGACCACTGGTCAAGATAGTTCGCAGTGCTGTGTTGTTCGGCTGAAGCGGGTGAAAAGGAGTGTTTTTTGAAGGAGGTGTACGGTTTGTAATATTGTAACATAACATCAATATTGTGGCAGTCTAATACTGCGATGTCACCGTGATCAATAAATTTCTGTACACACACCTATATTTACCGTTTTATTTAGATCAGAGACAGTCTGTCGATAGGTATCAGAGTGGGTATTATATTCGAGAAATTATATTATCTAAAAATGTCTCATTTGACACTTATTATTGCCCCACTGTCTTCAAAATCCCCCCCCCCCCGTCTGTTTGTGTCTCTCTCCCCCCAGTGAAGCTAAATGTCTTGGTGCAAAGACAGTTTGCACAAAAGCTTTTGAATACAGTCAGAGCAATGAGATCACAATCATTTCGGAAGTGGTTACTGACAAGCAGGCTCTTCATGCTGTGGAAACATTCCTGGGTGAGTTTCCATTTGAAAGAATGTTAAAGTTGTAAGTCATTTTGCTAAAGTAAACCACAGAGAAGGTAAAAAATGTTTTGTGCTGCTTGCGTCGACATTTGTTAGATGAGGAGCGTGTCCTGGTGGAAATGGCATGTGGAGCAACACTTGCGGCTGTCTACAGCGGAGTTGTGCACCGATTACAGGCAGAGGGTAAGCCATCACTTTCCAAGAGATTTCTCAAGAGCCAAACTGCATATCCACTTGGTTGTGTTCACTTCGAAATATATGTTTTTTTGACTTTTCAGTGTAAATTTTGAGGTACCAGTTCTAAACTTTCAATGAGAATTAATGGGTATCTACAGTAAATACAGGTAACAGAAATTGAGGTAATTCACGGGACAAAATCAGTAATTTCCCAAATTAAAGGTCGGTTCTTAATAGTGAAATTAAAGTTAGGGAAAATATCTTTTTGCGTGACTATATATATATATATATATATATATTTTTTTTTTTTTCATGCAAGTACAGTAAATTTAGAGTTGTCCGAATCCAATCATGTGATCGGAAATCTGGGCCATTCACGTGATTTACAGCTGATGGGTATTGGCTTTTTTCTTAATTTGTAAAGTCATGAATAAAGTGTTTTTTGTTTGCTTGATTTGAACAACTGCTAACCTCCAGCCACATACAAAGTTATCATATAAGGATACCTTTATTTGAAAAAACAAAATTCAGATAATTTGAATGCAGTCTTTTTTGTTCTTCTGCATAATGCATTGCTATTGGACATTTCAAGTCCATCAATGCATTAAACGTTAATATCTACAAATATCGAACGAATTCGGGCCTTCTATCAATCTATAAAAGCAGACAGGCCGATATCAAGAAGTCCGGAGAAGTGAGCGGTGAGACTGATGGAGAAGCGCGGCTTGCAAGGACAAGCTGCTGTGCAGTCGCGTCGCAGTTTTGGCAGTGGGAAGGGCAGCACGCACAGATTTTCGATCGGTCCGCCGCTCGTGCTTTTTACGCACGGCTAACTAATAGGAATCAAAAGTTACATTTTAAAATCTGAATGATTCCTAGAGAACCAGAATGATTCTTACGGTTCCACTCGATTCCTGGTGCTCAATACCCAAGCCAATTTACGATGTTATATTTCTTACTTATGCCATATTTTGCACAACCCACATGCAGCTAAAACTGCAATATTGCTCGTTATGGTCGTCTTGTCACTGTTTAGCCGACGATCTTAATTTTATTCTTTATTTATTCTTTTATTCTTCTATTTTACTGCTGGGTCTTCTTGACTACATGAAGGGGCCATAGAGCATTGAAGCACCACGCAGCTTTGAACCATGAGCAAACCAATTAGCTAGAAAGCTACAGTTGCTTCATGAATTTCATTTTACCATCACAAACAAGCACAGCAGCTCGTGGCAGGTCATAAGTTAAAAACCCCAATACACCCCAATGGGACCCCGCAATGACTGTGACGTTTAAACATTTTAGGTCGTCTACCGGCTCTCTTGGACCCCCTGCTGGTGATAGTGTGTGGAGGCAGCAACATAGACACGGAGCAACTATCTATTTTGAAACATAAGCTGCAGACAAAGTAATTGTGTAGCAGAATAAGTGTTCAAAATGCACAACAGAGATGAATTTATTGTAAGAGATAATTTAATGTGACTGTCATGTTATGAATGTATCTTAAAAATGCCATTTTAGAAATGTACATTGTCTTAAAGTTGTTGTTGTTTTTTGATTACCTAAAAAAAATCGGTATATGAAAAACGATAATGTCCAATAGTATGTATATTTGGGGACTTTTTTTGGGAGGGGGTGGGGGCAATAAATGTTCATTTACCATGCTTGCCCACCTGGTGGTGTTGCAGTCCATTGTTCTGGCACCCTGAAATCCTTTTGCAATTTACCATTGCAATTTTTTTCTAGAGGAAAAAGGGAATTAGACCTTACCACTATGTTGTCTTGGACTTCGGCATTTTCTTCTCGTTGATGTAAGGAAAACACCCTCGAACATTTGTGCTCACTAGCCCATTTTTAGACTTGATGACAATAAATGGACTGTGAGAGTTCATGACTCAATGTGATTGGTGAGTGTCTGTTTGGCATCTGACATGAGACTGAATCAGAGCAGGGCCAATGTGGCGTCCCACTTTGTCGGGATTTCTGCACACTCTTTAAAACATGCAAATGTGTTCTTTAATTTACAGGAGAACATGTCACCTGATTTACACGCTTCACAAATGACAAATAAATGCAAAATCATCTGAATAACCATACAGTTTGCACACAATAACTGCGTGTTAGCTACATTAATGCTGTTCAATAACTGCACACAAAAACAATATACTACATTGAAGCTAATCAGAGGCAAGTTATCAATTGAACCCCAAAAAGATAAATAGATGTTTAGAATCTTGTAAAGTGTGTTTTATCGTTCACGGTCTGTTTTTCCATGGGTGTCCTCATTGTCAAATGACGTCAGATTGAAGATGGACGATGAAGTCGGAGTCCTTTTTTTCGGGGTCCTAAGGGGTATTCTTGTGCACTTTTCCTCGTCGTCGTTCGGAAAAGTGAGATTTCCCACCTTCTTCCAATGCAATAAAAGTCCATGACCGCGAGTGTAATGCTGCATTGGAGGAAGGTGGATAGGCAGAGGTGTCCTCAAAGCTTTGAGGCGAATGTGAACAACATAGATGTCTGCTTCCAAAATATTTTTCCTTGTTCTGGTTCATCACACCGCAATTTTGACTTCCAGAAAACCGTTTTCATAATTTCTTTTATGTATATGAATAATAGGGAATACCGTGTCTTCAAAGAATTTCATTCATTTCACCAAATAAATGAATGAAGGAAAATACCTGCATATCTTCACAGTACAAATGAGATTACGTTGTGTGACGTGAAGTGATTACAATTAACTAAATGAATGCAATTATAACGATCGGTAAATACATGTATGTTCTTGTAAATTATTTTTTTGCCGTTCGTGGTCTGTGTCTCAATGCGGGGTCGCCATTGTGGTGTGGCGTCAGATTGAAACAGGTCGGTAAAGTCAGCGCGCTTATTTATTTATTTATTTATTTTTTCCACAACTCGGACTTCTTAGTTCACAGTGGATTTTCGGTGCACTTTTCCTGCCCGGAGGACGTAAAGTCCGACCTCACACTTTCCGCAAATGCAGCACAAGGCGTGTACGTCACAACAGCTGCTTGTCCAAGGAACCCACCGTGTGCATTTGTAACATAATTAAGAGTTGACTTTATCCGTGTTTTTGAAGGACACACATTTACAAACCCTCATGCACTTCAAATTAAGTGTCACCACTGTGAGGGAAAAAAAACATGTTCCTCCTAATACCACTTAAACTGGTAGTACCCGGAGAAAACCTACGAAGGCATGGGGAGAACATGTAAACTCCACACAGGATGGACGGCGTCAGGAATCGAACCACCGTGCCGCCCAAGATTAATTTTATTTTCAAATTCACTGTGGTGAAAGTCGAGATCATTTGTCATTCTTCAAAACTCTTCTGGATATTCAGCATGTGTTAGGCCAGATGCAGATGGGAGATTCTTGGCTCAACGTTAGCTCCTGTAGAATGTTCTGAAATGCTTGTTGCTAAGCATCGTATTCTTAATGTAATCAAGATGAGATTCAGTAAGTGTCTATCATGATGTTATGTAAGATTGAGTCACTCTATCAGGTTAGAAACACAGCCTCCATTACTGCTTCCCGAGCTGTAGGCTGATTCCAATGTGTGAATCCTGGTCACACTTGGAGTTGCTCTGATTTGTCAAACTGGGGGGAAAAAAAATATGAACATGAACTCATCTGTCATGTGAATCATGTACCGGTACACTAAATCACACACATTGTTTCTGTCACATAAGCCTAACAAGGTTGGTAGTTTTTTACATTGTATGGTAGATTGAGTAGGTGCTTGGATGACACACCACAACACTCTTTCTCCTGCTAACCATAATTTGGCAGGCACCCAAGAGAAATTTGCAACCCATTTCTATGACTACGGTTGCAATGACAAGTCCAACAGAGGCCATTTGAGCTGCGTTGAGACTAAAAATAGGGAGTGAAAAGGAAATGCGCTTTAGTTTGGTGTCGATGTTCATGTACGTGCATTTCTGATTTAATATCAGCATGTTGTCTTCAACTTAATCGTGTCATGTGCTGCAATTATCAGTTTATTTGTGAAAAGAATTTTGTGATAGTATGTGATAAATGTTTTTTTCCTATTCACTGTCTTTAGCCTCAGTTATTTTTCCTTCATAGTATGCTCTCAGGGCGGCCCGGTCGTCGACTGGTTAGCACGTCGGCCTCACAGTGCAGAGGTGCAGGATTCGATTCCAGCTCCGGCCTTCCTGTGTGGAGTTTGCTTGTTCTCCCCGTGCCTGCGTGGGTTTTTTCTGGGTACTCCGGTTTCCTCCCACATTCCAAAAACAGGCGTGGCAGGTCAATGGAAGGCTTTAAATTGTCCCTAGGTATGAGTGTGAGCGCAAATGGTTGTTCGTCTATGTTTCCTTCCACATTTCCACATCCCAACATGCTTGGTAGGCTAATGGATCATTCGGAATTTTCCCAGGTGTGAGTGTGAATGGTTGTTCGTCTCTGTGTGCCCTGCGATTGGCTGGCAACCGGTTTAGGGTGTTTCCCACCTGCTGCCCGAAGACACCTGGGATAGGCTCCGGTACATGCCGCGACCACTTGTGAGGATAAAGCAGATCGGAAAATGGATGAATGGAAGTATGCTCTCTTAGAGGTGTGAAATTATCGCGTAAATTGCGAATAATTAATTACATCCATATTTAGCGCATTGTTTTTTATCGCGTTCATCTAAATTTTAATCTTTAACTTTATTGTTTCTGTAGGTGGGTTGCCTTTTTCTAATACTGTATCCCTTTTTATATGTTAGCTTCCTGTATTCGAATTGTTGAGGGTGGGGAACCAACTGTCAGTCACAGCCTGAAGCGGACATTGACAAAGGTAGAGTGTTGTGCCTAATTTGTAAGAAGGAGTTTGCTTACCACCGAAGCAGCTCAAGTTTAGCCTCATACATCAATGCAAAGCACCCAGTCTCGATTGCAGCCACGGCTAACGTTAGCACCAAAAGTGTTTGCAATCGAGGGATCCAGAGCAAAGCTCTTCGCCAAACTAAACTCGAGGAGAACACCCCGCGTACGACGCATGAAGTCAGCATAGCTGCTGTGTCCGCTGTAGCCTATTAGAAGTGGTTGATGTTTATTTCAGCACTTTATTTTGTCATGATGAACAGTATTATTTCCCAAAGTGCTAACTTGCAGCACGTGTTTTAAGGGTCTGTTTTATTTATTATCGGAAGCAAGTTCCGTGTTCAGTACTTGTATTGCTCAGAAAAGTGTTCTTACTGTTTTTCATATGTTCACCTAAGTAGTTTTTATGGACCTAGTGTTCTCTTTTATTTTTATTTTGTAATTATTTGGAAATTTACAAAAACGAAACAGTGATATTCCCCCTGGTGTTCGAAACTAAACGTTGCAGGTAGGATTTAGGATTCATCTCAAAAACAGCAGAAAGTAAATGGCTTGGACTGCATCTGTTCAAATCTATTTAAAAACAATAAAATACTTTATAATACCACTTTTTTGTGATGTGAATCTTTTGATCTGCCTCAATGCTCAATAATGTAATGAATTTAAAACAAAAATAGGGGTTTTCTCAGCAATTTTTAGATGAGATTAAATTATAGATTAATTAGATCAATTAATTAGAGATCATATTAATCTCACATTTTTTTTAATCTCTTGACAGCATTATGCTCTCTCAAATGTTGATTTGATGTAAACGTGGAACGCGGAAGGATTTCAGGATCCTCTTCAGATTTCAGTTGTCTTTATGTCAAGAACAAAAACATGTCAGGTGCATTTGCTTTCTAATTTTAGAGCAGCAACGCATTCACTTTGCTTGCTCGCCAAATGGGTTGAATTTGTCAACGCTATGCATCAGTGAGTGCAGTACAGCAGTTGCATGCATGTATTTAACCCGATTATGGCTGGCAGGCATGCTGGCAATGAATATGAAAAATATTTTTTTTTTGTTATGCTGTACATTTTCGAAATAAAATTTCAGATTCAGTTATTCAATCAATGGTAGTTCTTTTATTTTAAAAAATGGTTTCACTGAATTGGTTGCCAGCCAATCGCATGGCACACATCGACGAACAACCATTTGCGCTCACACTCATACCTAGGGACAATTTAAAGCCTTCCATTGACCTGCCAAGCCTGTTTTTGGAATGTGGGAGGAAACCGGAGTGCCCAGAGAAAACCCACGCAGGCACGGAGAAAACATGCAAACTCCACACAGAAAGGCCAGAGCTGGAATCGAACCCAGTACCTTTGCACTGTGAGGCCGCATGCTAACCACTCAATCACCATGCTGCCAAAATTCATTATTTCTACATCTGAAAATGTAGACATTTCATGAATTCGTAGGTTATGTTATTCTGCGATTTATGCTGAAAGCTCACAAAAAACTGTACCAACCAACATTTAGAAAATATATATTTTTTTAAAGAGAGAAAGTAAGGATAAGTGAAGGGGAATGTTAACATAAATAAATAAAATAGTTAAAAAAAAAAGATTTAGGACTAAACTGAATTGGTGGAATCATTTTATGAAATAATCTGAACAAAAACATCAAAAGATTCCAAGTCAGACATCACGTACACTGTAAATGAGGAGCTAAAGCCAGTATGTTACAGAAATATGACATAAGTCAATTTTGCTCTTGTCATGTTTTGTTCTTGTGAATGGCATTGACTGAAATGTAACTTGGGAACTAAAGTTCTGTAACTGTCTGTGTGGCCAGCTGTTTATCTCTCTCTCTGTCTCTATCTATCTATCTATCTATCTATCTATCTATCTATCTATCTATCTATCTATCTATCTATCTATCTATCTATCTATCTATCTATCTGTAGATAGTACTGTACTGTTTAGGACGTACATAAGAAGCGTTTCGGGAGACCACGTACATGGACAAGCCCCATAAAAGAAGAAAGATTACTGGAAACGTTTCAACGAAGTCCAAGAAAGTCTTTGCGGCAAGCTCGTCGTGAGGTAGCCAAGATGTGTGGCATTCCATCGCTTCACGTTGTCAGCAGTGTCTGGAGCAGAACGGACGTCAGTTTGAGAACATGCGATAACAAGACAATAGAATGATATTTGTAAATTCTTTTACATGTTGAAAATTATTCGAAGTATAATAAACCCCACATTTATAATTATTGAAGGGGTGTATACATTTTTGGGACACCCTTGTGTGTGTGTGTGTGTGTGTGTGTGTG